GGTTACCAGACGATGAAGAAGCAGAGATTGGATTTGTACCCAGCCCTTCGCTACCTGAAGGGGTCTCGGAGCGGCTCACAAACTCCTTTCCCTTCCCCTCCCCACAACAGACACCCTGTGAGGCAGGTGGGGCTGAGAGAGCTCTTGACAGAAACTGCTCTTTTCCAAGAACAGCTCTTATCAGAACCACGGCTTGCCCAAGGTCATCCTGCTGGTGTGACCTTGGGTCAGTCATAAGTTCTCTCAGAGCTGTTCTCTCAGGAGCCGTTTCTGTCTGAGCTCTCTCACCTGCTCTGAGAGAAATTGTGACTGACCCAAGGTCACACCAGCAGCTGCATATGGAGAAGTGGGCCTGAGGATAGAAGCCCACTGCGGGCCTAATCCAGCCCCCGGGTTGCATGTTTGACACCCCTGCCCTAGATCCTTTTTGCCCACCCCTCTGCCTTGAAATGTCTCCCCCAACCTATAATTATGCACTTGATTTTTCATGCCTAAATGCAGAACTTTACATTGATCCCCATTGAAATCCATTTTATCTGTTCTAGCCCAGTTTTCCAGCCTGTCAAGATCATCCTGTATCCTGACTCTTCTTATGTTCTCTCTTGGCCTGACACATTTGCTCTAGTTGTCCCTCTTTCTGAGTCTGCGGACTTCGGTCGCGATCAGACGGGCTGTTCAATCCACTGTTGCCCCGCCTCTAACACAGCCGGATCATTTTGTTCCAGAGAATCCTGACCACACTCACCCTTCTTAGCACTCTTCAAAAGCGATTTTACCGGCTGCGGAATGATCAGTTAGCACGAAGCATGGAGTCAGCCCGTCGGCCATCTTTTAAAAAGACGTTTGCCCTAGGAGCATGCCCACAAGCAGGGATGAGCCTTTTGGGATATGTAGTTCATGGGGCTGTCAGCCATTACTTTAAAAAGTCCCCCCTCTGAGCATGCACACAAGCGCTTGCTGAGAATGCTGGGATATGGAGTTCACTGCCATCCTCCCTCTAATCTTTTCAAAGAAGAGGAGGAGGAGGAGGAGATTGGATTTATACCCCACCCTTCACTACCCAGAGGAGTCTCAGAGCGCCTTACAAACTCCCTTTCCCTTCCCCTCTCCACAACAGGCACCCTGTGAGGTAGGTGGGACTGAGAGAGCTCTGACAGGAACTGCTCTTTTTCGAGAACAGCTCTGACAGAACTACGGCTTGCCCAAGGTCATCCAGCAGCTGCAAGTGGAGGAATGGGGAATCAAACCCGGTTTGGTGTAAGTGGTTAAGTGCGCGGACTCTAATCTGGGAGATCCGGTTTTGATTCCCCACTGAGTAGAACAGGGGTGTCATTCTTTGAGAGTTTTTCAAAAGAAAACAAGGTTTTGAGCAGCCC